CCCCAAAACCCCAAAACCCCAAGTGTTTGCAATATCAAGGATTTTTTGGTTATCACAAAATATCATTTACTATGAAAGATAGATAATTTCATTCATTTTAATTATATTCTTCATTTCAGTCCAGTTTAAAACTTTTGAATGCATTCAGATATCATGGAAGCTTGAAATATTGAAGTCAGAGGCGCCAAAAATCATGCTATCATTGGAACTAGATGCTATACAATAGCCTTAAATTTTGCTTCATGCACTGGAGTCGCATGGCCTGATGCACTAGCATACTAGCATCTGGTATATTCATAGCAATTGTTCTGACTTATAAGATTACTGGATCTCATTTTAACGCTGGAATAAGTATTGGTATTTTCATGCTTGGAAAAAGAAAGTTCCAATTCTAGTCACTTACATCATATCTTAAATATTCGGTGTTTACTTTGGAATGGTCTTTTCCTACTTAGTGTTAGGTCACGACCAATCTCTAAATCTTCATCCTCCTGATAACCAAAACTAAGAGATTTACTATGTTTTTCTAACTGAGATGTTCTTTTCGTGGATTTTCATGACAGTGTATTTGCATGCAAAGACCAGCAAGATTGCACCTTCAACTGATCCCGGGCTTAGGGCAATTACTATGATGGTTGTGTAGTACGTTAATTCTGGTATGATCATGCCAGTTACAGGAGGATGCCTTAATCCAACAATTGGTTTCTGTGCAGTTACATTCAGAGCAATTGTTACCAAGCACAGTGAGACATCTTACATGAAATATCTACCAGCATATTTATTTGGACCTCTAATTGCAGGATTCTTAGCTGGAGCCTTTGTAAGATATGTAGCTCTTGTAGTCGCCCCTGAGTCACCTGATTCAGCACCCCCTGAATTTAATACATCAAAACAATAGTTAAATGATTCTAGAAGCACACATGGTGGTGCTGCTGCTGATTACTACCAGATTAGGAATAATCATGATTGATACTACTCAGGCTGATACATAATGCTGATTCTAATAAATCTCAATTTTATTTTCTAATTACCTTTAAAATCTTGGCAACTTGGGGTTTTGGGGTTTTGGGGTTTTGGGG